GGGGTGGGTATGAGGTAACTAGAAATAGAAAGTTAGTTATATAGGTACATGTCTGACCGTACAATGTAGTCGCACCTAGGTTGTCGGTGGGCCATTCAGTTTGTGGTGACACGTGGAGGCTTGTTGTTTAATGACTTGGTTAAGTAATTGTACTGTTTTACATGACTTGTACTTTGCTCAAATTTAGTTGACCTTAGGTCCGTTTTATAGCAGGGTTCTCTAGCATCAACACAACATTACTACGACCGAGTGCAGCTAGTTAGGACTCCGCCAAAAGATTTCTAGTTCGAACCTTACGAATAGAAATTTTTTCGGTAAAATGTATTTCGATAGAGATCGTTTTACTCCCTTAATGAATATCCAATTCAATTTCAAATTAGCCGGATTAACAAAATTTCGCATACATGTTTATCCGTAAAATGGTACAGTTGAATTTATACGTGGTTTCTAGACAAGTGAAGTAATTTTAATCCTGAAATAATAAAAAGTTGAAGAAATATGCAATACTTAGCCTAGAGATGGAGACGAAATAGCAGAAACAGCAATTCTGGGAGCAGGGTTTCCGGGCACAACAACAATGAAATCAAAAAGCAAGAAGATAAGATTGTATTAAGCTTTGAATAAAATGTAACATAAGTTTACCAGAAAATTCGTGTCCTTTACAATGATAATTGAGCTCACTATTTATAGCTACGTCTAGGGAAGGAGGTCCAGGGATCGTGCCCCTCTTTAATGTCAATTAAGAGGGTCATTGATGAAGATGTAACGGTGAACATAAATGTCAAATTTCCTGTAACGGGCAATCGTTCTTAATTCCATGGATATTCTCTATTAAATGCTACCGGGTGAAGAGTATTTATCATATCTTTATGAGCGTTATTCTTTCCGGTCACAGACGAAACAGTTGCCTTCGGTCTTTGCCATCCCCCCGTATTGGGTTTCACGTGTCCCTCTTTTGAACAGTCACGTGGTATAGCATATTTTACCCTATACAGATAGACCCCCTGCTTTCCGGTGACATAACTTTGTGTCACTAGGAAGTTGGTAGAAATACTCTTTTTGCAGAAATTATTATAACTCCTTCTAAAGGCCTCTGACAGTTGATTAGACGTACGTCTCTCCGCATTTAATGCCCCGAACACGCGTCGTCCCACGATCCAGCACAACTTTTGCCGATTATCGAGGTAATCATGGCCATGATTTAGCCGTCAAACTTTTACTTATACGCATCAACCTTTTCCCGTATACTCCATAATTTTCCAAGTTTTCCTCATTCGACTTGCATCATGTATACGGCTAAAATAGGAGAGTCCAATTTTATGATCATTATAACACTCCATAGCCCGTCTTCAGAAGGATCGAGGAACTGCTCGAGGTTCGACCCCGAGGGTTCCCTATGTTCGACCTCGGGGCAGTGCAAATCGGTGGCTATGTTGGACAAGCGGGAAATTCCCAAAGCACGTGGTTAGAGCTGACCAGGTCTACAAGAATAGTACAAGTCCGTACCGTGACATTAAATGGTTGTGCCAGCCGCATATCTTTGTAATAAATGCACCTGTACTATATTGGGATTCCCCCTCCTATATAAAGGGCACCCTTGTCATTTCTTGCGGACATGATATTCAATACAAGAACAAGAACATTCTCTGCTCTCTAACATAAACATTCTCCATTGTCTTTCCTTTGATTTATTGCTTACCTTTATTGTGTTCTATTAATTGTTCTCCATTTATTACTCATCATTGATCATAAAGAGCCACCATCAAGGCTCTCAGAACTGTTAGTTCTTCATCGGCCATTCCTAGTCAGACATTTTAGCCCGACCTCGAGGCCCGGTTTAGGCTAGCTCGAGGCCCCAATTCACGGCCGCTCGGTTTGCATTACATACTATCTTCAAGCTCTTATCGCATTTTCCTAACTCACACCTAGCATCTATCATCTAACAACTAGCATTAAAATAAATCACGTATTTTTAGAACCACAAAATCAAAATTAATTGTAATTACCATTTTCAAGGTAAACAGTTTGGCGCCCACCGTGGGGCTAAAAATAATAGTGATTGTTTTAGTGCTGGTTTACTGAAAAATGCAAGTTATTCTTCACGGTTTTTCTTGTCCAAGAATCTTTGATTTCAGGTCAAAATGTCTTACTCAGTGAATGCACATGAAAACAACGGTCCTGAGGATCATGGAGAGAATGGTGTAGCTGTTCCAGGCGCCGGTGTGCCACTGCGAAACCTTGAGGACGCACCAGAACCAATTCCCATAGATGTGGGCTCACGCAACGCCCAACACGTCGATATAAGCTCCCACACTAACAGGAGTATACGCCAAGAAACCAACAAGAAGCTCAAAGAACCCCAGCTCGGGAGGAACGAGAGGTTAGCCTTCACGTCATTTTTGAGATGTTGCAGGCACAACAGCTGGCGATTGCTCAACTGCAGAGCCACCAAAACACTCCAAGCACAGAAGCACCGGAAACGGCTCGTCGAGCCGAACAGTTACCGGAAAGATCGAGCAACAACGGGTTAGCAGCCGACCCCGCTATTATAAAGATGCTCGAGGCCTCACAAAGAGGATTGAATCGGGCGAAAAGAAGATAGAAGCTAATGACAAAAAGGTGGAGACCTACAATTCAAGGGTCGATCAGATCCCGGGCGCGCCCCCGATTCTGAAGGGTGTAGATTCAAAGAAATTCTTACAAAGGTCATTCCCATCGAGTTCTGCTCCAAAACCCATCCCGAAGAAATTCAGAATGCCTGATCTCCCGAAGTACAACGGGACCTCGGACCCCAACGAGCACATCACTGCCTGCACCTGTGCTGTAAAGGGAAATGACCTGAAGGACGACGAGATTGAATCCGTTCTATTGAAAAAATTCGGAGAAACACTTTCAAAAGGGGCCATGATGTGGTATCACAACCTATCCCCAGATTCGATAGACTCATTTGCCATGCTGGCAGATTCTTTTATAAAGGCACATGTCGGTGCCATCAAGGTTGCTACAAGGAAATCCGATATCTTCAAAATCAAACAGAGAGAAAACGAGATGCTACGAGAGTTTGTATCTCGCTTTCAAATGGAGCGAATGGAATTACCACCAGTCTCCGATGACTGGGCAGTGCAGGCCTTCACCCAAGGCTTGAACGAACGAAGCTCGATAGCTTCGAAGCAGCTAAAGCAGAACTTGGTCGAATATCCTACAGTGACTTGGGCGGATGTCCACAACCAGTATCAATCAAAGATTAGGGTCAAGGATGACCAACTAGGAGCACCCTCGGGCTCAGTATATCCTAGCAGGCTCCTGGCAAAGGAACCAAGTCCAAACAGGGAAAGGTACCGACCGTACACTGAAGATCAAAGAAATGTCCCAAGGCGTAACATACCCCGAAACGATCGAAGGGCAGATCGAGGTCAGAATCCCCAGGGACTCGTGAGCAGAGCCGGATTGGACAGACACGCAGGACCAACGGAGGCACCCCGATTATGTGAGTACAACTTCAACATTTTCGGACATTGTATCGGCCATAGGTAAAATCAAAGACACCAGGTGGCCAAAACCCGTACTATCAGATCCGTCACAAAGGAACCCTAATTTGGGGTGCGAGTTTCACAGCACACACGCTCATAGACCGAAGATTGCAGACAGCTCCGAGAAGAAGTAGCCCGACTAATCAACAAAGGGCATCTCCGAGAGTTCCTCAGCGACCGAGCCAAAAATCAATTTCGGGAAAGAGATGCGAACGGGAAAAATGAAACAGAAGAGCCACAACATGTCATCCACATGATCGTTGGAGGAATCGACATCCCACAGGAACCCATTGTCAAACGAACAAAAATATCCATCACCAGGGAAAAGCGGACTCGAGGTTACATACCCGAGGACGCCCTCACATTCAGCGAAGAGGACATCGAGGCCTTGTCTCAGCCTCATAACGACGCATTGGTAATTTCTTTTCTTTGTGAATACATTTCAAATTAAACGTGTGCTCGTGGATCCAGGTAGCTCGGCCAACATTATCAGGTCGAGGGTGGTGGAGCAGCTCGGACTGCCGGACCAGATCTGCTCGCCTCTCGAGTCCTCAACGGATTCAACATGGCGAGAGAGACAACAAAAGGGGAGATCACCCTCCCGGTCAGCATGGCCGGCACAACCCAAAATGTCAAGTTTCATGTCATTGAAGGAGACATGAGGTACAATGCCTTGCTCGGGAGGCCATGGATACACTGCATGAGAGAAGTACCATCAACCCTTCATCAAATGATGAAGTTTCCAACGAACGACGGAATAAAAACCGTATACGGGGAGCAGCATGCAGCAAGAAAGATGTTCGCGGTGCACGACATGGCACCGGCATCGACACCTTCAATATCGAAGGAGCCAAAGGACAAGAAAACAGCAAAGTAACAATCACAAGCTACATTCCCGGCTGCACCTGAGTATGAGCAAAGGACCGTACCGCGTCCCCGGGGCGAGCCGTTGAAGCATATCGAGGCTCGAAACGCCATCACTACTAATGTATAACCGCCCCCTTTAATTTACGTTTTATACTAACTTGTGTGCAGGTGTCCGGTTAGAAAAATCGAAGCACCTTCTAG